AGAGAGAGAGAGAGAGAGAGAAAGAGAGAGAGAGCGATAGAGAATTATAGTCTATGTTAAACAGACATTTATAGAGACATATATATAAAGAAAGAAAGAAAAAAAGAAATATTTTCTTGAGTTTTTTTATGGAAGCACAACGCTAGGATGTCATGTGTAGACGTAGGCCTATCACGTTCTAGAGTCTAATACAACTCTTTAATACGGGAACGGATACGTCAAAGAATGCATTCCCACAAGGTATCACCATCTCTCTGGTGTCACCTTACATTCCAAGATGCAAACTCGGCCACTGAAGAATGAGTTTCATAAATCTAATACTCTAAAAGTATACTCAGGAGTCGGGAGCTTTCAGCTATTGAGAAATAGCCCTCGCCATTTTTATTCTAGTGACGTCAGATGCGTTGAGCAGAGATGCTTAGGCTATTCCGAGGGTTTTGGTAACAGTAAACCATTGCCTTCAGTTCGCACACCCTGATTCTTCACTGTCATTGGGGTCCCATTTGGCTTGCTGTGACGTCATACACGAAATAGGCTATTTTAACGTATCTTGAAAATGAGAATATAAGGAGCTTGGGGGGGGGGGAGAAAATTAAGTTTACCCCTAATCTACTTAGGGTGTGAATTTATTATTAGTAGGGTTTCTTTATTCCTCTCTTCCTCCTCAGTCTAAGTGTGAATGAAACAGTGAAGAGAGTTTCTCAATTTGCTTTTTATGAGCTAAAATATAACAGCTGTCAACACTAGATTTAAAGTAAAATCGATTCCAAAAGATAGCAGCCCAAGACACTCGCATTTTCAACTACTTATCCCAGAATCCCCCAAAGTTTTGATGCTCCCTTCATTTCGTCAAATCCATTACTTTGTCCTGCTTGGTAAATTCATGAATACGATCTTGTTGTACAGATCGTGTTATTGCACTTAGCTTGTACACGAATGTTCGTGCGCACAACGGTTTTAGTTTGCCGCTTTATGTGTGTGAGAAGTGTAAATCCAATACCGCTCTTTGAAATGACCTCGACGGAAACTTGCTGGGACAAATGTGCCCTCGGTTTAGGGATAACTTGATATGTCATATCTATGTCACCATTTCCTTATCTAGGTTCACTCTTGTCCGTTGCATCGGATACCCGTGGTCGAAGAGAGCAAGACAATCGGATAGTCAAGCTGAATAAGATCTCGTGTCAATCGGGCAGAAGTCAGCAATCACACTTTGGCACTTCTGATTCAGGGGGGAACAAAGAAACAAAGCTTTTAATTTCCTTGGTATCCCTGTAATGACAAGTACACTCCCCTCCCTCCCACAACACACACACACACACACACACACACACACACACACA